GAAGAAGAGTTAGCTTCGAGGGCCACGACGCCTCTTATCAGCATTGAAAGGGGGTTCCAGGGCGTACAGGCCCGTTAGTATATTGCATTATATTGCATTACCTGGACACCCGTCCTGTAGCCCAAAACTACGATTTAGGATTTGGAGTTCTCAGGGGCCCCCTGACGCCCCGGGCCCCCGGCTGCGGCGAGATTCTGGTTTGGTTTTCTTGAATCAATTTTGGCCTTTGTCAGGGCCTGCCAGGGCCTTCCAAGGGCTCCCAGTCTTCCCAGGAGACCCGAAAGTTTTTCAGCCAAGAAGCTTCCAAAAACTTGCAAAGAGTCGGGGCCTCTTTGCCACACCTCAAGGTCCTTGCAAGGCCCCATCTCAGGCAAGTGACTCGGTAAAACAAAAGCGGCCTTTCAGGGCTCTTACAGGCTTCCAGGACCTTCCTTTCAGCGGCCTCCCAACTTTCGCACCCATGCCCATTGCAGGTGTGCTTTTTTACAACTTCGCAAAGGCCCTCTCCACTTTCGCCACAAAAGCCTCCGGGCTCCAGGACCTTCGCAGGGTCTCGGCCTCCAAAAAATCAAGGCGGCGCCTTAGAGCGCAGCTGCAACAAGCGAAGCCGCCGCGCCGCGCACAAAAAGCATCACTTCAAACTAAGGCGGCGCCTTAGGGCGCAGCGGCAGCGAGCGAAGGCGCCGCAGCCCGGTGCGCAAAACTGTTTTCTAAAAAGCGTGGCGGCGCCTTAGAGCGCAGCGGCAATGAGCGCAAAAAGAACTAGGCGGCGCCTGAGAGCGCAGCGGCAGCGAGCGAAGCCGCCGCGGCTCCGTGCCCAAAAAAGATCACGAAAAACCAAAGCAGCGCTTTAGAGCGCAGCGGCAGCGAGCGAAGGCGCCGCAGCCCTGTGCGCAAAGAAGCCTAAAACTCATTCCTAAAAACTGTGGCGGTGCCTTAGAGCGCAGCGGCAGTGAGCGCAAAAAGATATCACTCAAAATAAAGGCGGCGCCTGCGAGCGTAGCGGCAGTGAGCCAAGACGACGCGGCCCCGTGCACAAAAAGGGTCACTAAAAACTGTGGCGGCTGCCGCTAGCATCCCCCACAGATATGCCGTGCAATGAGAGCCCAAAACAGAAGAAGACCCGAGCCACCATCAAGAAACCCTTAACCCTAAAAGAGAAAGGACTGGGTGGTCTCGGGGTGGGATATTAGCTTTAGCACGGCGCGCCGCCCACGACCTCTTGGGTCGACGCGCGACGCTTCCAGGTGAAAGCCCTTGACCTTAAATCTTAGACCCTAAACCCGTACCTGAACTCTCACACCCCAAACCCTAAGCCATGGCGCTGGTGGGACACAAAAGCTGCCTTGCCCATGTCCTTCTTATACTGGACCAGCTTGCCTGCGTCCTCCAGTCTATGGCCGTATTTCTCTGACAAGTGGTCCCCACATCTTATATTGCAAGACACTATACTGTCCTCTGAAAAATGTGAGAGATCGTCAGACAATGAGGCGGCAGGATTATTAGCCTCAGGACCCCCACCCCACAACATGCCTAAAACGCTAAAAAACCTGTGCCCACGCTTGCTCTGAAGCGTTGCAAGACCGCTCCTTAAGGTCTTCATGAGGCTCCATCTTTGTCATGCCTGAGCTGACTGTCGGACGGTTAAGAGTTTACGTTTTAGGGTGCGTCATGAAAGTTAAGCCTTCTGCCTCTCTAATCAAAGCAGTAAGCAACTCAAAAAATGAAGTCCTAAGAGCTAGGCTAAAGTCAGCCAAGCTTCGTAGTAGAACATCCACTGGCACCGCGTACATCGGAAAGAACATGGGCGAATCATCCGTATCTGGTGCGAGGCGCAAGCGGATTATGCAGGCCCCAGTTAGAAAGCCAATGTTCTTTCAGGGCCAGATGTTTGCATCAGAGCCCTGATCATGAAGGGAGAGGTTTTCAAGATCAATCAGGGGTCGGGCATGCTTTAATAGTCCAAGTGTTCAGGACATCATCCCCCTACAAGCGTTTCTAAGCCGAGTCAAGTGATTCTTCCGCGTCGAAGGTTGACGTTATGTTGTGTACTAGCTTCGAATTCTTGTAATATAAGCTAAAAGAACCCCTTGACTGACGCAGATTGCGTTGGCTCGTCTTCCGGGCTTACTCCCCTCCCCCAATATCAAAACCCCCCACCCCACCACCCCCCTAATAGTAATACTCCCAATTGCGGTATATCATAATCATATATTGGGAATATTTTACATTAGAGGGGGGGTGGTTAAACAGTAGGGGGAGAGGATTACTTACAGAGCAATGCAGATATCCTCCTCAGATCCACGTCTGAAGGTCTTCGTTTCTCACAGGGCCCCTATGTAATTAAAAGGGTTCTAATGGGAACCCCAAACAGGGAACACCAAGAATATAGTAGTAAAATGATAGAAAATAAGGACCCTGGTAGGCATCTTTCGGTTGTATTCCTACTATATTGTGGGGGTTCCCTGTTTGGGGTTCTCAGTAAAGTCCCTTTATTAATCCAAAGGGAGACCTCTACAATCTGGGTACAATCAACTAATAGACGTGCCTACAGACATGCATACAAACAAACATGAATTTAAAGGTGTGTGTGTGTATATATATATATAGTGGTTTCCCAAAATAAGGGGACCCCAGTATAGACCCCAAAAAATACTGTAGCCCTTATTATAGGGACCCCCAAAATGGTACCCCCAATTTTGGGAAATCCCCATATTTGTATGGAGATGCCGTATTTGCATGTTCCTATAGTCCCCAGGATCCCCTCTTTCTGTCAAGCAAGATAGAAACGAAAAAGCCGTTATGATCATGAAGCATTTGCACGTAGAGAACCTCGGGAGATGTAGAAAACACAAAACATGTGAGTATGGTTTTTTCTTGGTGACTGAACCCAGTAAGATTATATTCTTTATATGAAATACTACCCCAAGGAGGATATAATCTTATACTCTACAGTAGGTACCATAATATTCTCAAACATCAGTCGGTCATGCTGATCGCGCTTCGAGCGGTACCATAGGATCCGAACTAAAAGACTACTCATCTGGGGCTGCCTATTAAGCATTCTCTCTGGGATTCTCTGGGTAATTCGGAGAACCTCGCATATTGTCCTACCTTCCATCTTGGCCCCTGCCCCATTTACTAACAAGCCCCCCCAAAGTGCACTGATTATAGGCCTCAATACAGACTGCCACTATCTCTCGCGGTCACAATTAACGGTTGGTAGGGCCTTGTCTAGTCCCTCACCGCCTGCATACTAACTACCCCCCCCCCCAAATCTGGTGCCGAAAAATTCCTTGACCCGGTTTTGGTTGTGAACCTTTGTTACCGGGGGGGAGCCATAAACCTCTTATGACTACCTGATCTAACCTTCGCTTGCGCCAAAGAGCGGCCCTCTGTTGGGAGATTCTGACAATAGGAAGGGCCTATGGGCCTTAAGGGACTGGAAAGAACTTGTAGGAATGCCTCATGAGGATTATGCCCATGCTCCGAGACTTCCTATTTCGGCAGTCGTCGTACACAAGCTGCTGCTAAAACAAACTATAGTAACAGGTACCCACCAAGGAGTAGGGCACAAGACGTGTTTCGCCCCCACGCCTTCTGAAGGTTGCTTTTGAAGAGATCTCGCATACTGCTCCAAGGGGCTCATGTGTCTACGTGGCGCGCAGAGGCACTCCATGCCTTGCCACGCCACCAAAAACTGAAATCCAGCAAAGAGGGGTGCCTTTTGCCCGTAGTTCGAACTGCTGCTGCGCTGCAGTCCCCAATCTCTGACTGACCCATAATGTGCGATGCGCTCCTACCCCCGTTCGGGAAGGAGCTGGGTTGGAGAAAAAAATGGCTTGAACGACTCTATGCTTGGCACCCCGATGCTTGTGCTAAAATCATGAGGCTTGGCACCTTAGGCGCGCAACATTTGCCTGATTCGAGCCAAAAGTGGGAAGAGCGAAGCGCCAGCTCTTCTAAGCAACTGCTCACCGGCGCGGTCAACCCAGATGACGCTGTGACACTGGTAAACAAAAGGCGCATCATGGGGCTGATTGGAGCTTATATATGGTCGCTAATCCCAACTTAGATTTTGGAGCTACGGGTACAGTGGCATGTCCAGCCCCCAGTATGCCGGCTTGAACACTCCCGCATCCCTGACCATCGAGCCCTTGATTGTCTTAGCTTCCACGCGGCTTGCCAGCCAACCCTGCAAACGCACCACAGCCATCAACCAAAATACTCTACAGCCAAGCGCAGGACAAGCCCTACCCAACAGTCACTCTTTGCTTTGATCCGCCACTGTACAACAACACCCCAATCGCAGCTCTGAATAAGCTCCCTGAGTCCGTATACCCGCTTTGCATACATACTGGCCGTTGATAACGACAATCCCCATTCAGCGTCGTACCTCCCGCCAGGGTTTCGCCTCAGCGTTTGCTTCTCGGAGCAAGATGAACCGGCGGAGCCTCAGATCGCAATCAGCTTTGGTCGTCAAGGGTCGCGGTTTAGGGTCTATAGGGCCTATAGGGCTTAGGAGTCAGGGCTTAGCATTTCAGCGTCGGGGTTTGGAGGCAATTCGGCTTTTAAGGATGTTGTCGTGTGAGCCTGGGAAGGCCAGTAACCAGTAAATCGGCCCGGCCAACGCCTAGATAAGGCCTGCGATCTGCCCCCTTCCGTCTGGGCGCTAATCTCCCCACTTTTGGGCCCTGCTGCCACCGAAAAGCAACATACCCCGTTGGGTAGGTTTGGAGAGTAAACGCACCTAAACTAATGAAGCGTGCAAATCTACAGACTCCCGTAAGTAGATAGAATATGGCTGTGGGTACAGCACAATTATATCCCTGTTTTCCCCAATTTATCTAAGAGGGAGTGACTATAAGCAGTTTGGAGTGGGATTCCGATAAGAACGGCGACCCGGCCCCCTTCCACTCCATGGCTCAGTCAGGGTGCGGCACCTGGGACTCCGCATAGTCCCTCTTAAGTAGATAGAATATTGGGTTTTATAGAGGTTCTATAGGGATAATGGAAAAGAAAATGGAAACTACTGTATTATATTAAATTGTGGCATATATTGGGGTTATAGTCACCCTTAGGTAGATAGAATATTGGGTTTTATAGACGTTCTATAGGGATAATGGAAAAGAAAATGGAAACTACTGTATCATATTAAATTATGGCATATATTGGGGTTATAGTCACCCTTAGGTAGATAGAATATGGGGTTTTTGGGGATCTTATTTTCATATACCCAAATCCCATATTCTGGGTACTGTAGGGGGACTGTAAACTTTGGCCCTGTGAAGGACATTATGCTAGTATGCTAATCCTTATCGGAGATTCTAGCCAACCCCGAATATATGGATCTCATTCCAACTGAGGGGATGGAACCAGCGAATCCAGAATAGGAGGGCCCCAATAAAACTGGAAGAGCTACTATCCTGTGCTATGATGAAAGGCTGGCGGAGGACTTATGATGTCAATGGTTCAAAGAGAAAGCAAAAGTGGCTCTGGGGGGGCAGACGGGAACATTTCGCAGGATGCTTGTAAACAGAAGTTCATGTCAAAGAATGACAAACACAGCTGTTCAACATCAATTTCTGCTCTTCTGAACTTCAACCCTCTTAGCAATATACAACCTAAAGGTCAATGGCAACCCCATGAAGGCCCCAGAACAGGCAAGAACCCACAAACTCAACCGGTCATCGGAATTCGTCTGCCATCTTGCATCCCATGCCTGCCTACTTAGATGGGGGAATGTTGCCAAATGCAGGGGCCATTGCATTCCGAGTTGTCCCACCTGCTCCCCCCCTCCCTTGATTCTGAACCGGGACGGAGGACAGCAATCCCTGTAAGCTTAATTTCCACTTCATTGTCCATCTTCTTTCTCATCTGATTTTCCTACTCTAGTCAGTCCCCGGCAGCGTGGGACTTACACCTAGGGTTTAGGGATCCCTGAAGCGGTGTCGGGTCAGAGAAGGGCAAGTCAATCCAGACGGTGCATGACTGCATCAAATTGTCCTCAGGCGGTGCAGTAAACCTGGGAAGAATAAGTATGTTGTGAAGCTAGCGGCAGCTACATAGAAAGCAAAGAGCATGCCGCTGAACAGACATTCTCTTGAAGGTTCTGAAGGGTCGATTCATCAAAGCGGTTCAGCATGCTGAGCATCGTGCAAATCTTTCCCGTACAGTCGAGTGCTGACCTCAAGGTCAGACGGTATGCACGCATTTCTGCCAATGGGGGTTCCAGAATATGAGGATACCATTTTGGGGGTCCCCATACTAAGGAGCATAACATATTGGGGTCCCCTTACTCATGGCTTCATGGCTGGAAAGTACCAGCTGTTATGCAACAAAAAGATACGATCCGCCTCACAGTGAGGGATTCCAAGAGGATATCTGGAAAGCAAACCCTAAACTCTTAACCGCGTGGCAGGAAACACTGGTTCTCAGTGGAAATGGGAGGAATGGATGCCTACAGTGGCCCTATATGAACCCCCAAGATAATATGGCACTTGCCGCTTCTTTTACAATTTCTCCACTCCTTACTGATTACCATTATAAGCCAGCCCCCTGAACCCTAAACCCTCAACCCTAAGCCGACAGTGGTCCTTGAGCAAGTTTACCGGCTCTAGGG